GATCCAAAGAATTGGCTAGTTATTTAAATGAACTGTTTCTTAGTTTCTCATAGCTAACTGTTAATTCATTCTAGATCAAGGCCCACAAAACAGAATGACATGAAGAGTGGCAAGATTTCCGACACTGTCCAATGGAAACACCTGCCAATCCTCAGAGGGCTGCCTCTAATCCTGAGTGGGCATGGGAGGGATGAATCAGCCAAGTTCTATCAGAGACGATAAGAAGCAGGTTTTTCCAGTTATGTTTTATCACCATTTGGGACTATTCAAGAATATAAAGCATTTTCCTAGATAGTCACCCTTAAATACTACCTTACCTAAAATAAATGGAAGGAAAGTAAACTTTCATTCTCATAAAGGTTGAATCAATAGAGGAGTATTTTATTTGCTCTGTGTTGGGGGGCGGGGGCAGCTAAAATAGAAATAATACAACTGGACAGATCCAAAGGTCCAAGTGCTCTCTTGCCCTCGTTACTTTTTATTCTGTACCTTATTTTTATTTATATTCATTTATATTTTACGTTATATATAATATTCTTAAATTATTTTTATGTATGTATTTCTCACATGCTCTTGGCTTCTTGGGTTGAATTCTTTTTTAGATCTTTTTTCTGCTTCCAAAAGTACCATTTATTCATTTTGAAAACAATAGACAACACAAAAATGCACAAAGTTGAAAATAAAACACAGCAGTTATATTTAACCACTGGAGGAAGCATTTGACAATATTAAATTTTAGATGAAAAGGGTTTGGATTAATAACACCCAGAAAATTCTTGTTAACATTTTGACATATACCTTTCTAGCTTATAAATAGACATACGGACACACACACACACACACACACACACACACACACACTTATCTGTACATACATACACATATTGCTTAACCAATAAATACTAACAGAAGAAAATTTATAGTACATATAACTCATAAGTGTTTTAATAACAAAAGGCTCTTCAATCCATATTGAGTTATTGCAACTATAAAAAAAAGATTGCGAAGGCATTCATTATAAAGGCAATGAATCCACTTGAAGTTATATTGTTAAAATAAAGTCACTTAGCAAACTCAAATTGCTGCCAAAATCCTGCTTTTAAAAAGCCCGTAGTTTTGGGATTCCTACTCGATTATTCCTGATTCTATTCTTTAGAGGCTCCTGCATAATGCAAAATTAGTGGGATGTGTTTAAGATCTGAAAACCATTAGAACTAATGAAGATGAAGTTGGCTTTGTTCTTCAACTTCCTGTAAAAATGCTCAACAGGAAAATTGATGCTCACAGCAAACCACAGCCATCCTGTTTCTTTAGCACAATCTTTTCACAGCTGCAGTTGCCTGTAGTTTCTATTTTGTGACACCAGTCACAGTGCAACATGTGTGTGCCCTACCTCTTGCCTTAACCACCCCTACCATATCCTTTAGCCATTTTAGAAAACTTAACATCTTTGCATAAAGTTTGTTTCTATTATTGTTACTCTTCCTCTTCTCAAGTTTAGCTCAGAGGGCTGCAGGCAATGAGGCAATCAATATAAGAGGAAAGAGAGAAAAGGCTGCTTAACCAAAGAGGAAGCAAAAGGTAGAGAACAGAAACGAGTGTTCCTTTAGAATAAGCAAAGCGATAGACTCACCTAGTTAGTTATCATTGTTTTTCTCAATCGGCTCTGAATGTGGAACACATGCTTTCTGGAACCCCTAACTTCTCAGGATGTACTTGCTCCCTTCTTGGATGAACATCATTTAAGACAATAGCTTAAGTTAATTCTGCTTATAGGCTATCTTCTCAAAGGTAAGGGTTTGTGACTCAGCTGTACTTACAGGGTCCTTGGCGATTTTAGAAAGCAAGAGTTTATTTAGATAAAGAGTTGATTAATTCTGGAGGATGGGAAAGGCATTTTTCAGAGAAGACATTTTGAAACATCTATAATATCATTATGATAGTACAACGCCAATTCACGATTTTACTCTGAGTACCTGCTGTGGAAATAAAGGTTGTTATGAATAAAATTATTTCTTAATCTGCTGCCATATATGTTTAATTTAAAAACTAATGTAAATTCATAGACATCAAATCTTTTTAAAAGTGAGAAAATGAAGGTAAGTTCAATTACACACCTACCTGTTATAGTTTAACTGTGAGAAAGGGAAGAGAAACCCTTTTCTACTTTATCCACACAACTGAAAGTATTGATTTTCCTCCTACTACTTCCCATATCTTCCAAGTATTCTTTAAGGCAGGGGTCCTCAACCCCCGGGCCGCGGACTGGTACCAGTCTGTGGCCTGTTAGGAACAGGGCCGCACAGGAAGAGGTGAGTGGCGAGCAAGCGAAGCGTCATCTGTATTTGCAGCCGCTCCCCAGCGCTAGCATCACCACGTCAGCATCACCACCTCAGCTCTACCTCAGATCATTAAGCATTAGATTGTCAGAGGAGCATCGGCCCCTGGTGCCAAAAAGGTTGAGGACCGCTGCTTTAAAGAGCTCAAATCTCAAAGCTAAAGTTTTCCTAAATCCTCAGCCTCACATTTAATTTTACCAGAGGTTTAAGATCTACCCCTGTTCTCTACTACACACACACACACACGCATGCACACACAGCATATATGTCAACACACTTGATATATTTTATTCATTTTATTGTTGAAAGTGGAGCCTTCTTTCATAAGTTACAAGTGTCACCAAATTTACCTCTGAAAAGGTCAAAAGACTCAGAAAGGAAATGTCTTATTTGAGATTGTTTGCTTTAAAATCATTGTTGTGACATTCAAAACAAAGCATTTGTATAATCCCAGATTCCCAGGACTGAAAAAAAGACATCTTAGAGGCAACATCAGTTGCCTCTAAACTGCACTTATAAAAAAGCTCCTGAAATTACAGAGCACTTCCTCCACACTTAGATGTTAGGTGGCCTTGGGCAAATTACTTAGTCTTTCTAAGTCCAGTTCCCACAGCAAAATGTGGAAAATGGTACTTACTCAATAGGGTTATTCAAGAGTTAAATGAGGCAAGTGCTTAATAACTTTAGCCATTTTAAAAAAATAAAATAAGTGAAAGTAAAGAGCCTAACACATAGTAAGTGCTCAATAAATGTTCCTGTCATCCTTCCTATTTAACCATGAGAGAAACCATGAGTTGATTTAAACCTTAGCCCACATGTGAACACCTCTGCAAACCTTTGTATTACAAATGAATGGTGAAAAGAGGTGTGTATAAAATGCATCTTAAATTTTTTAAGAACGTACTAATTAAAGCATTCCTTAGTCTAGGATTTTTTTTCAGTTTTAATTTTCAGGGATGAGGGTTTCAAAACACAGACAGGGGTATTTACGACAGTCAAGGGAAATGCTCTTTCCAACGAGAAGTAAATGTATGACAATTTGGTAAAACAAAAATGAATCGATCTTAAGGCAGAAATGTATCACAATTTAGCATCTGCCATGATGAAGTAACAGTTTGAGCTAAAGCCGACTCTGTATCACAACTTAAACAGCTAGAAACTTCCAAAGGAAATGCCATGTTCATGGAATGTTAAGCAGGCCTTCAAAAGGGCATAAAACTTAAAAGGTCCAGGTAGCATACTTCCTCTTACACTTTAACACAGGTTGGGGAACTTCCAGCTTATAGGCCAGATCTGGAATTTGATTTCATCAATGATCAGGGTGAGATTGCCGCTGGACCCCCCAGGGAATGATTTTCAGCATGGGGAGTTCTCCAAATATTGCAGTTCATCCGTAGTATGTGTAATCCTTAAATATTCAGATATTACAGGAATTGAAAAGCTTTGAACAATGAACCCATGAATTAATTTTTCACAGAGCATTGAAAACTTGATAGTGATTTCAGATAAATCATTTAATCTCTTTGGACTATAAAAGGAAGAATTTTGACTAGTTGATGTTCGCGTTCAGAAGCAACATACCTTTACGAAGCTAACGCATAATACTTAAGACCCACAATCCAAGTGAATAGTAAGGGTATGGTTTCCACATGAATCGACCTCAAAACCTTTTCCAGGCTTCTCCTCTCTCACCATCCTGTCTTATTTTTTCTCTGCCTTTCCACCACCTAGAATCTTCCTACAGCCTTTTCATCACTTTACTGCTTCTCCATTTTTTATTACATACCCTACTTATGCCACTGAATTATTTAAAAGAACTTGTACTTATTGACTAAATTGGCATGTACCCTCTTAATATTTTAAAGCTTTATATTATATTTCTCCACAGAAGAGAAAGGAATATAAGTCATGTTGCTTTTTCATATGTGCTCCAGAGGGGAAAAAAAACTTTTTGATACAGAAAAGTTTCCTTAATCCTGCTCTGTAGATCTATAGATACATGGCTTAAAAATTTAAAACTACAATACTTTTATGCCAAAATATTAATCATATTAAATGCAAATAGTTGTAACTATTTATAACAAATGCTACCAGAATTTTGTGCACTGCACTATTAAGATGTCGAATAGAATGATTCTAAAGAGAAACTGCCTTCTTCCTAAAAAACTCTGCTTAGAAATGGTTTAGTTTGGGATTTGAATTTAAATAACATGTCCACAGCAACAGAATGACAAAAGTTTAGTTCCATAGTGCTTTCCTTTGAATCTTCCAGTGACTCTCTTTACTTGAAACACACTTACTGTTGCTAGCCAAAGCAATGGTTCAAAGGCAACTGTGTGAACAACTGAACTATACACTGAAAGGATATACAGCCCCATTTCAAATGGGGAAAAAAAAAATTCCTATGGATCCAAACTTGTCTAAGGGTCAGGAAAAATTCTACTGATAATCTTGCGTAAAATTTGGCTCAAAACATAATTTATGACTCACCCGTAATCACCATAGTAGTAAAACTGGTATTCTGTGCAATAGGAATAGACCACATGATCTTCTACTGAAAAAAATTAAACTTTATCTCGACATTAAAATGGTCTGTTAAAAGCCATTTAGTTCTTTAGCTGATAAAGGAAATACATTTAGTTTGAATATAATTTTTCTTACCGTTAAAGGATACCGTAGGAAGGCATGACCAGGGACACAGGCAGACAGAGAGCAAGCGAGATACGAGCCCAGAGAGGAAACCATTCCTGAAAAAGGCATCATCTTCTAACGCAAATGCGGGGTCATTTTTGGACAGCCATTTTGGACAAGCTCTGGCCTCTTATTAAATGTGACATACTGAGTCACAGGCAGACGTTCTTCTGTGGTTATTCGCTTCCTGTCTGATTAATTTGTTGTTTGTTCCTTCCTCCTTTGCTGCAGAAGAAGAAACTAGATTGGTTTTACTTAAGAAGCAAGGAAAAAAAAAACCTACACTAAAAAACTTAGTTTCTCCTTCCCACAAGGTGTGACATACCTTTATATGGTACAGTGACAAGAGGAAATGAGGTCCTCCATCCAGTTAACAGTCCAACTTTATTCTAGATACAGCCACAAAAATATTTGTTCACGGAACCTGAGATTCCTTCAGGAAAATTCTATTTGAAAGCATCACTCTCAATATTTACCATACCATTTAGTATTAAAAAAAAAAAAGAGTCAGTCAAGAACTAAAAGCTCTCAACCACACTAATAATAGTAAATTATTCTTCCTCATCTACAGAGCATTCGAGTGAAGAGAGCTGGTCAGGTGCATGAAGGCAAATGAGTTTTGAAATGTGATTTTGGTGCCCAAGTCAGGATAAATGATATATAGCTTAGGTCATATGAAGATCCAGAGCTTTTCATGCCAGAATGTTTTGTTTCTGTCCTCCAAACTTAATGGGGTAACCATAACTCTCCTGGGGGATGTTTGACAAAAAGCACAGAGATAATGAGTGCAGAAAGAGGAAAATCAGATTTTTCATTATGAAAGAACTCTAAGAGGTAGATGGGCCATGGAATATTTGAGGAAAACATTACACCAAAATCCTGAGTATGTGTAAACAATCTGAGCATACTTATAATTTTTTCTTGATCCATCTGAAAGGTTCAGACTTAATGTTTGCAACACAAACCATGTAACTCAGAGAAAATAATATCAGTTGAAAGAATGAAATACTGGCACTTCAGAAACTAACTTTGTTGTAACATATGAACTTTGGGTCCTGATTTTTCTGGGTTGAGAGGAAAAAGGCATGAAGAGACCACAAGTTGCCTAATATTCCCTTACCTGTAAAATGACAGGACTGTAGTTCTCAATTCAGGAGGCTGTTGGAAATGTATGGAGGCATTTTTAGTTGGGGGTGGAGGGTAGTGGATTGGAATGGTTGGGGGAGGGACCCTTAGGATTTACGGGCAGAGACAGAAATTCGAGACTTCCTATGATGCTTGTGACAGTCTCACCCCAAATACTGGAAGTACTCCTATGAGGAATACTGGGAGAGCTGGTATCTAAGGTTCCTTCAAACTTTAAATTCTCTGAGATGTGAGTCTAGGAGAGTTATCATGATGCAAGGCCGTAGCAAAATTTCTGGAGGCAGAGCACTGGAAGATTAGGGACCGAGAACCCTCTACGTTGCCCAGAGCTACTTGAAGCCAAGACTATATCCCTCTTGCCTAACACAGGGTCCGGAGTCCCAGAGACTGCTGAACAAATACACGCGTGCTGGACAGAGGTGGAGGCTTGCAGCTATCGTTTCTTCTCCCCACTACTGACCTCGGGAAAACAGAAAACTTGACCAACTACCAAGTAAATGCCTGAGTGAATCTATGGGGAAGTCTAACTATAGCTGGGTCTAAAAAGAGAACATGGGCAATATGGTGATTTCTCTATGTATTTTCGGAATTATTTTGAAGTTCTCTAAGTAAGGCACACCACACACACACGTACATGCACACGTAGTATACACACAGTTCACGGCTATTCCTAGCCATTAGAGATTGCTCAATTAGAAGGGAGTATGTCACTGAGAAGGATGGAGCCTCCGGGACATATAAGGGAGTAGTTTCCTAAAGTTTGGGTTTATTTCATCTTTAATGAAAACTTGTAAATGCAGTCAACTTTGAACACATTTCTGGGGTGTCTAGCATGCACCATAGGACATAAATCAGATAATGTTCCTCCCTTGCTTAGAACCCTCCAATAGTTTCTCTTTTCACTTAAAAAGTCTACACTTTCTGCCTAGACTCACAATTTCTGGCCCCTCCCTAGTCCTCTGTCCTCATCTCAAGTAACACCCCCTTTGATAATTTATCTTCTAGCCCTTTCTGTTTCTTAAATGCACCAAGCTCATTTGCATCTCAGGGCCTCACACTGTAGCCCATTAACTGGTACACTCATCTCCTGGTTTCTTCTCATTCTTTAGTTGTCAGCAAAAACGTTCTCACTCATGCCCCATCTTTGTTCCTGTTTTCTTTTATGCACAGCACATGTCACCATTTTTTTAATTTATTTGATGGTTTATTTACTTGTGCTTCTCTCCCCATGGGAATTCAAGCTCAATGAGAGCAGGGACCTTCTTTCCTGTTGTCACTCACCTCAGCATCTATCACAGCGTCTGATGTCTGGTAGGTGTTCAATTAATATTGTTTGTTGAATGAAAAAGAAAATCAATATTTCTTAAAAATTCTACCAAAACATAACATTCCCTCAGGAGCTTAAGATTGTTCCCTCTGGCACAGCGAATAAGGAATGCCAAGATGAGACTTGAACCTTCTTCTTGAGAAGGCTTAAGTTAAAGGAAGCTTTTCCAGAGGAAGGATGCCACCCATCCGCAGGTAAGGCCTTTAGCCCACCAAGGGGCTTAGCAGAGTCTTGTGCAGTACAGGTGGCTTGTGTCATTACCAGTGGGGGGAGAAAAATGGTTAAGCACGTTGAAAACAAACAATTCAATTAGAAAGAAAGAAAGGAAATAAAAAGATAAAGGCTATGAGGCAGGAAAAGATGGGGACAAGGCAGAGATGATGTGGTGGTGGGGAGGGAGAGTGCCAACCGTATCGCTGACCCCAGGGGCTTGGAGGCCACCCTCTGCAAAGGATGACACACAGGTGTTGGATGTGAACGTGCTTTCTGCCCTCCCTCCGTGATAAGGTGTTCCCAGATCAGCTTCTTAAAATAAGGAATGCTAAGTCCAGACAAGAGAAGAGAGATCAAAGTCCATAGCATCCTTTAGAGAGATCCAGAGAGACTTAGCGAAATGCTCATGTCACACGGCAGGCAGCAGCAGAGCTGGGGCCAGAAGCCAGTCTCCCACTCCGTGGCCCAGTGTCATAACCTGCTTAAGTCTCATTTTAGTTTCAGAAAAAGAATTTTACTTAATTCTTTTCCAAAAGCATAAGAAGAGGCAGAAGGAAGAGGGGTAGAGAGAAGGCTGTGATGTGGAGGGGAGAAGGTGAGGGTAGCATTTATATTGATTGCTGTTGGGCTGTTATAATCAAAGGCCAAAGATAAGTGCATTGAGAGCTCAAGGTAAATAGAGACGATCACAATTCTAGACTTCAAAGAGAATTTAAATATTCATATCAGCCCCACATAGACCAGTCCAAGCTTAAAGATAAAGTAAAACAATAATCAATAAACTCTTGGCTCAATCAGGCAAAGAATCGTCCATATAAATCCACAGAAATAAGAAATCGAGAGCAAAAGATTAGAAAAGAGCAGCGCATCTTGGAAACACCAGTCTTGGAAAAGCAGTAAAGAATCAATCACAGCCGATGACTCTCCTGTGGTGACCCCAAATCGACAGAGACTGAATCAGGACAACAGCGACATGTATAAAATACGAGCAGTTCTTTAAAAAAATAATTCTGGTTTGTCAAGTTGTGTTTCCATGACTACCTGTTATAGTGTAGTATTTGCCCTGATAGTGGAAAGACGTTTTAGTTTACTGTATTCCCTTCATTCTAACACCTTCTTCAACAGCAGAATGCTCCCCTTATAGCTTTTCGGGGGAGATAAGAAAAAGCACCATTTATTGTAAGGAGAATTCTATTTACATTTATTGTAAGGAGAATTCTATTACTGTAAGAAGAATTCTACTTAAAAATATTAAAATAGGAAAATTATGTGATTTAAAAGAAACAAAGGAAATCCCCTCTTCCCCATAAAATCATCAGTACAGTTACATAGAGCATTGATCATTTAAAAATAATCTCAGAAAGAAACAGAGACATTAAAAACAAGTTTTGTACTATTTTATGCCCTGTTAATATGAATTATTATAATCTTGGGGAAAAATTTGCCATATATTTATGTTTTGGCAGCTCAGCATCCATTCACCCCACCTATAATGATGGCCTTCAGTTTTCGTTTGGGGAATCACCCCTCCCTCATTCTCAGACTGCGTGAGTCCAGAGGCATTCACTCCCTCCCACTCCAGATACAGGAAGAGCAGAGCTGACCTGGGGCTGGCCAATCACAGCCTTGCATTCATTTGGTCCCAGAGACATTTTTGGTAATGGCTTGTGACCTCATCAGAAGCAAGGGAACTTGTGGCCAGAGGCAAGGACTCTTCCTGCAGGATGAGTCTGGAGTTGGATCTGTGACAATGTAGGGGCTGGAATGGCCACACTCATCTTTTGACCACCTGGGGTCTGAAACTGAGACCAACAAAATAAGGAAATGAGGGTGGAGAAGAAGCAGCTACTGATGTTGTTGGTTGAATCCATCTGTACCTGAGGCTAGCCCTATTTCTAGATTTCAGTTTACACTAGGAAATAAATTCTCTATTTTGTTTAAGCTGGTGTGGTCAAGTTTTTTTTTATCACTGGCAATACAAAGACTCTTAAGGGATGTAGGTATCGGTACTAGAAGTAAATGCTGAATGTGACTAACTCTAAAATATGCAATGGCTGATTTAAGGTTGGGTGAAGGCTACTACAGGCTCTTGTGGGCTAGGAAGTTAGCAATCCTTGTTATGTAATGGCAACATTGCTGGCTATGTAGCCACCTATTGAATCCTTGGTCTAAGACTCCACGCCTACTGATAATGTACCATTAAAGGATTCAGAGAAAAAGTTTAGAATGTTGGAGTGTGTTGGTTATTTCTTGCAGCCTTCAGTAAAATCCATGGGAAAGAGATAAACAGGCTAAAACTGGCTGGAGGCAGAGAGAACAAATGTGGCTTTGTTAGTAAAGGCTTTTTTTTCTTCTCTATGATCTGTAACTAAGATGGCTGAAAGTCAAATAATCTGGAGCCTCGTGGGTTGGAAAACCCAAATTCTCTATGTTATGCTAGTGTTTAGATAGACTAGGGTCAGAAGGTAAGAACCAGATCAGGAAATAATTTTGGAACATAGGAGAAGCCCATACCCCATTGTCCCTACAAAGGCATTTT